GTGGAAGGTATGCTGAAGTACTAAATTGAGGCGAAGCAGGTGGGTTATCCCCTGCGGAGTGTTCTTAAGTGGTATGATCCTTATGCGTATGTTAGAAGATATCATGTGTAATTGAAGGGTACGTGTTGAAATTTGAGAATTCGGGTTGCTTAAGAGAGTGGACTCAACTGAGGCGGGAACGAATGCGAGGTTTGCAGAGGATTACAGTACTAGATGATCTGTGTTTTCACGAACTGGTAGATGATTTGATTTTAATCTCACTATGATATGGTGACATCATTAGAGTAAAAGTATTATGGGTTATTGAGTGTGTCCTGATATATGGCTTCGAGCCAAGTTGGGGAGGTTGCTGTTGATTAGTTTATTGCATGGTTATGTGCTATGTTGATTCCGTTTCGAGGTACGCTGGCGAATCAGTTCTGGTTGCGGAAATTGAGCCGAGGATGGCACGAGCGAAGCAAAATTTTGACAAAGGTTATATGGTGCCTCGTAGATGTGTAAGAATCAGAGGATGTCTTAAGCTGTTGTTGGTAAAAGTGCTCGGTGCATGGAGCAGGAAGATGTTTGTTTGTATTGGGATAAGGATCTCATTTTGCGTTATCGGAGTGCCAATAAGGCACGAGTCACTCTGTTCGTTGGGTCAGGTAATTTGCACTTTGAATAAGAGTGAATGACTTTCGAGAATGGTTCTAATGTGTTCAAGATTCTACATGTGACAACCAGGTGTCTTAAGGTTGTGTATGTTGTTAGAGACTGTATTTTCATTGGAAAATGTCAAGACTTGTGGTATTTTTATGTTAATTATGGGATTCTATGCATCAGTATCAGGAGAATAAAGGTAACGGATTTAGATTCGCAGGAAGTTCTTCATAGTAGATTATTTTGGGAATGTGGTGTTTCTGGGAACATTTGAGCGAGTATTCAGTGGCTTATGGGTCTTAGACAGTGTGGTCTCGTGTTTGGGTCTCGTATGGTAAGCCTGGGTTGAGGCATTGTGGTGCTACAGCAAGAAGGAATGTCAAGTGGATGATGAATCACAAAGGAAATCAGATAGATGGAATAGCTTGATAGTGGATCGAATCGGTATGGTAAGGATATGATTAATTTCTTTGTATGTGTTCGAGGTAATGAGCCCTTACAGGTATTGTGCAGCAAAGCTCTTGAGTGCTGACAGCTTGTCTAGTCTGGTCTAGTTAGAAGGATTCAGTCCTGACAGTTTAGCTTGTGCAAATGGAATTGGGGAAGAATTCTTGTTAGGTTTCTCCGTGGTTTGGAGATGTATATATCTTCTATGGGCATGCGAAGCATGGAATGCGTAAAGATTTTCTTCCAAATGGGATAAGTGGAAGTTGTGGCTAGGTAAGTTACAGTTCAGTTCTGAAAAGAAGTTCATAAAACTCTTAAGTCACTACAAAAATTATGGTCTAACGCCACACTAGTTTTAGACAACGCTTGAAAAGTGTGCCCAAAAATATATTTGGGCACACTTTTAAGGGGTGGCCTTTGAATGGAGCTTTTGGCTACGGAAAATTTGGCTACGCTTGTAAAATGTGCTCTTTAATTTATTAGGCTACACTTATTAAACGTTGTTAAATTATAAAATAATTGGCAACATTTACTTGAGTATGTGCACTCTTTTTAAGCGTGCTCTTATTATAATTGAAAAAGCAACACTTCATAAATGTGCTCTAAAAGTCCAACAAAAATATTTGGCTAAAATATAATATTCCCTCCAAAAAATATAATGTTCCCTCCGATATACTCTAGGTAAAATATTATTTTTTCAATTTCAAAAGGACAAAAAGATTTCTCTCCATCGCTAACATCTCTGTGGATACATTAGTTAGGGTTTCTGGCTTCAATATTGTGGATACTGAATCTTCAGGATAATTAGGTACTGTTAATTTCTTCCCTTAATTTCTGCACCTTCTCACTTTGGGTGGTGTTTTTGTTTTCAAAGTATCATCTCAAAGGAAGAATTATGTTTCCCCTTTCTCTTAGGTACTGTTTTTCACCTTCTCGCCCTCCTCGTTCCAGATTGAAGAAATTTATAAAGCTAAAGAAACGGGAATTCTTCCAATCTCAGGTTGGTGCTGTTCTTCCAGGTTTTTCTCAAATTCCTCATCTTTATCGTGTTCACATTGAGCATCCCATGTTTGACGATCGTTTGTCACAATTTGTTGCTCATTAGACATCATCTTATTTGTAGATTGTGCTTGAGATAATGCATCCATACTTTTCTCTACATGTTTGTCTGTTGATAGAAGTTGTTGCCCAGAATTAATCTCTTGTTCTCCACATGACTCCATGGATTGGGAAGGAACCTCCTGCACGGACTTATTCACTGTAACCATTAGCTGCTTGATCTTAGGAATAGAATCCCTCAAAAAGGTTGCGTGGGGTTCCTTAACTAGTTTAGCAACTTGTGGATTGAAAAATTGTAGTGTTGGTATAGCTTCATTATATTCTTGTGCATTAAGAGCGTCAAAATAAACAAATTCTG